ATCAGAATCAGACCGACCGTCGCGGCCTTTTACAGGCCTAAACCAGGTAATAAACGTGTAAAAACCACGTTTAATAATTGTGGTTGATTGGAAAAGCCCTACAAATAATGAAAGTACTGAATGTTACGAATTGTTTGAACTATGGAATCGTAAAAACCTCATAAATCATAAAAAAGCTAATTTTTTACTGATACTTTTTTCGGGTTGATTAAAGTTGAATAAGAATATTGAAAGAAGGGTTAAGCAGTCATAGTGTCCGAGCTAGGACGGTTGCTTTCTTAATTGTAACTTATCTGACTCAACTTATTATTATTATAAAACAGGATCTTACCGACAAAAATGATTCTTAAAAATACCTTAATGCGGTAAACTGTACCCTTGAAAAAGATTTTCCCAACATCTGTTGCATGCAGCTATATCTTTAATTTCGTTCAATTCATACAAGTTGTCCATTTGCAAACTTCTACTATTTAAATCACTTCTTAAAACCGATAACAAGTTCATTCTAGGTCTCCCCAATCTTCCAATGAATAAATTATCTGATTCAATAGCAAATGAGAGAGCCGTTTGGGCTGGGGTGTTCTCCATACTCCTGAGAATGTGTCCAAACATTTTCCACCGCTGGTGTTCAATACGCTTGGATAACTTTTCAACTTTGCACCTTTCATACAATGCTTTGTTGCTTATCATACCTTTAGGCCATTTGATGTTTAAAATGGACCTGAGGTGTCTACGATCTGACTCAACTAATCAATTAATGTTTATAACACACTATTTCCAGTGCAATGTACCGCTCTGACGGTGGGAAACGCCCTTGTCTCCCCAAGTGGACCTGTTCAAGTAAACACAGTTGCCAAGGTAACGTGCATGTCCGACCATTTGCATTACGTCATATCGGTCACGTGCGAAGCGGAGGACACGTGGTCAACTACACCAACATGTCAGGATATGGGTATGGTAGTTTTTACTTCAGAGAATTAGCTATAGTTTATAATTAACAATAAACAAGTAGCATCTTTTTCGATATACATACTTTTTATATAAGTTACTACAAGCATTCAAACCTAGCCCCAATACTTATTCGGTCACTTAATCAGGTGTATCCTCTAGATGATGGTAGACCTCAACTCACACTTTATAGATTTCAGGAAGTCTTCGAGACGCAAAGCAAAGGCTATTTATGTACAGTGAGCATAAATTGTTAGAAGTAACGGTTTAATTTCAATGGAGGCGGGAAAAGCGGTAAAATTCGGTAAAGACGATGCATCATGCTAGAAATATGGCATAACAAATTGCGGGAACAATAAATTTGGGTGATACAAAACTCGGATGCAAATTATTTGGTTTCCAAAACTTTGCAAATTTTAATTCTAATTAGTCTAATTTTTTAGAAGTTGTTCAACGGTAAGTTTTAGCAGCTGTGGATCATAATCAAAAACATAAGGTCAGAATTTTCCCGCCTCCATAAGACCTGTTTTATTGACTCAAGAAAAGGGAAGTAGTAGGGCTGCTTCTCTTTTCATTGTGATCAATAACTTTGTTGTAAAGTAACACTTACTTCAAAGTAACAACTTATATGTCACAGTATCACTTCCTAGCATCATTTTTAAACCGTAACTACGCTGAGTAGGACTACAGGTATATCATCAATTTCAATTAAATTACTTTATATTCGCAATATTCGTATTTCAGTTCACATCATCATACAATTGCATCAAAATTCGTGAACATTAGTGAAATGGCCAATTATTGCTGTTATTAATCCACGAAAAGATAAAGTATGTTTTGTGTTATGAGATATTAACCTACAGGTTTATAAAGATAGGACGCCCTGCGATCTAGGACACCCCATAAACAAGAAAAGAATATTTTTCTAAAGAGACGAAAGGAAGATCTAATACCTAAGACTTTCAGGTCAATATCAATATTTCAGTACATTTTTATAACTTTTTGACAGTTCAGATTTCAGAACTCATTCGACACTATCATATTCATACGTTTTCTAATCTTTCCCAAAACAATATTGTCTAAGTATGATAGTTTTATTTATGTAAAATTCAACCTTTCTCTTTCAGGTCTGAAAAGATTACTCTCACTCTCAGCACGTGACAAGCTCTCACTCTCAGCACGTGACAAGCTCTCACTCTCAGCACGTGACATGCTCTCACTCTCAGCACGTGACAAGCTCTCACTCTCAGCACGTGACACGCTCTCACTCTCAGCACGGGACTACCTCTCGCTCTCAGCGCGTGACAAGCTCTCACTCTCAGCACGTGACAAGCTCTCACTCTCAGCACGTGACAAGCTCTCACTCTCAGCACGTGACAAGCTCTCACTCTCAGCACGTGACAAGCTCTCACTCTCAGCACGTGACACGCTCTCACTCTCAGCACGTGACAAGCTCTCACTCTCAGCACGGGACAAGCTCTCACTCTCAGCACGTGGTAAGCTCTCACTCTCAGCACGGGACTACCTCTCACTCTCAGCACGTGACAAGCTCTCACTCTCAGCACGTGACAAGCTTTCACTCTCAGCACGTGACAAGCTCTCACTCTCAGCACGTGACACGCTCTCACTCTCAGCACGTGACAAGCTCTCACTCTCAGCACGGGACTACCTCTCACTCTCAGCACGTGACAAGCTCTCACTCTCAGCACGTGACAAGCTGTCACTCTCAGCACGTGACACGCTCTCACTCTCAGCACGTGACAAGCTGTCACTCTCAGCACGTGACACGCTCTCACTCTCAGCACGTGGTAAGCTCTCACTCTCAGCACGTGACACGCTCTCACTCTCAGCACGTGACAAGCTCTCACTCTCAGCACGTGACACGCTCTCACTCTCAGCACGTGACAAGCTCTCACTCTCAGCACGTGACACGCTCTCACTCTCAGCACGTGACAAGCTCTCACTCTCAGCACGTGACACGCTCTCACTCTCAGCACGTGACACGCTCTCACTCTCAGCACGTGACACGCTCTCACTCTCAGCACGTGACACGCTCTCACTCTCAGCACGTGACACGCTCTCACTCTCAGCACGTGACACGCTCTCACTCTCAGCACGTGACAAGCTCTCACTCTCAGCACGTGACACGCTCTCACTCTCAGCACGTGACAAGCTCTCACTCTCAGCACGTGACACGCTCTCACTCTCAGCACGTGACACGCTCTCACTCTCAGCACGTGACACGCTCTCACTCTCAGCACGTGACACGCTCTCACTCTCAGCACGTGACACGCTCTCACTCTAAGCACGTGACACGCTCTCACTCTCAGCACGTGGCAAGCTCTGACACGTGAACAATATATATTCTTCTCATTAAAAACAGAAACAGTTTTTGGTCAAATCGGACGTCACCATGTGTTAACATTTGAAAAAGTAAAATATTATTTCTATGAGTATTTATTCAATGAATGCATTGTATTTACCTGTTTGTACAGATGAGCTTTAGTTTTATTTATGCGAGGGTTCTTTCTTGCAATATAAGGGTAACAAATAACCGTTCACACTTTTATCAATCTTTATATCGACGAGAATGCTATATACTTATATAACCGTTCACACTTTTATCAATCTTTATATCGACGAGAATGCTATATACTTATATAATAGTTGTTAATGATTGCAAAGAACTAAAGATGGGAATGCCGGTAAAATACGATTTTCTACAATGATGAATGATCGATTTAAAAAAAAGTACGACTGTTAATATAATTTGTTAACAAAATCTAATACAATGCAGCTTCTTTTGTCTTTGCCAAAAAAAGATCATTATCTGCGAAATAAAATAACCAGTATGAAACACAAGTCATGAGCCTGAACAAGTAATATCAAAGAAAAAAGTGGCCATTAAAATATTTGGTTTTAATTTATAAGTTATTAACCAGCAAACAATGAAGATTACTTACAAGTAGCTGATAGAAGATACACTGTTACTACATTTCATGTAAGTCACGTGATGTCACTTACATTTGACGTAAGGAAAGGGCTGGAACTCGTCCCTTACATCCTGGAAGTTAGAGGGCAGTATCCGGATAGGATGGACAACATCCTCGTTATCACTATTCTCACTATCACCCCGTCATCTGCTGTGCTAACGTCGTCTACTGCCAGGAACGGCTGAGCAAGAGTTAGAGTTTAAATATCTAACTGTCAATCTCTTGACGAACCGTTCTATTCTTTTGGGATCACTCACATATTTCGTTGGCCGAATTGCCACCGTAAGCTTTGAGAAACCCCGTAAGCCAGGAGAAGGCATCCCTCCACCGGCCCCCGTAATCATCTACTCTTACTTTTCTTATTGTATCACAGATACTCTCCCCTGTATATCATAAAGAAACATCAGAGCCACCGTTGGTCCGTTAAAGCTCTAATGTTAATTCAATGGATGCGCTAAAATCGAAGCCAAAACTTTACTTAACTTGAATGTGGCATTTTTCAGCTTCAGTTAATTTACTAATTTTAAATTTAGAGTCGAAATGAAGAGATGATGATTTAAGAATCTTAGTAAGACTACCTATTTTAGAGATGTGCCAGTCAAAAAGGACTAGTGAATTGACAGTTACTTTGTTCCGAATGAATTAATTTGAAATATCTTCTTAATTCAGTACCTATAGTAAAAAATGTAATTTGCTCAGTGTCCAGTGGTGGTGCAAAGAATGACTTGTACCTGTGCTGTTTCTACGTGGTCACAAAGTGGCCTGAATTAAATCTAAATCTTATGATATTGTTATTATCTTAACAGTTACTGTTGTAACTTAAGATTTTAAATTTGTATTCCTTGTATTCCTTGTATTCCTAACTAACATTCTCCTTCCCCTTCTCCATTCAGATCCTATACACTAACTTTGAGTAGAATAGTTGCAGGAATCCCTGAACAGATGAGCTGGTTAGGAAGACCACGAGACTGCCGCGTGACTTACCACGAGACTGCCGCGTGACTACCACGTGACTGCCTCACTTGCATATTTACTGGTGTTGCATTTCTATGTATTATTCAATAGGGCTGTTTCTTGATCATTCTTTACATTTCTTCATATTTTTGTTTCCGTAAGTTCGAAGTTGTAGTCTCTTCAATAAAGGTACATTATTTACCGCAAATTATATATCAAGCATTAATTAAAATAAGTTATCTGACATGCTGCTAGTGAGATTTAATTACTCTCAAAGCTTATATTATCATTACCAAACTCCATTATCTGATAATATTATAATTAACTTTGTTAAAGGTCTACAGGTTCCTCCTTTCAAATGCGCCTTATACTCCTGACATTGTATTTGCTCCACATTGGAGTGTCGTTGGATGAGAAACCTGGTTTTAGGGTCCAAGTCAGTCAGAAAGGAATCGATTACGGTATGTGATTTGTCAATAAAGTGGTAAAATTTTAGCCATCGCGGTGGTAATTGTAATGTAACATGATATATCTTTATAAAACCTTGTATAATCATAGTAATTCAGTTGTAATATTGAGGTGTGCGTATGGATTACCTTTTATAATTCATACTCTGGTGGATTTTTGCGGAATTAAAGAGCACTTCTCAATCGGTAATCCCAGATTCTTCATTATAGTTTTTCTTTCAGTTCGGGATGTGCTGCTTCCTTTGGCAACTGACGCGATTAAAACAGCGAAAATATCCGACACGGAAAATAGAGTAGATAGTCCAATCGGACACATTACCTTTAAAGTTTACAAGTAAGTAAGGTTTTAGTAAGGGGAACTTTCTGTTGTGGAGGTTTTAGTGATGGGAACTACTAGAGTGAAAATGATAACGGAACTGAAAATCTTTCACTATCAGAGATTAAAAGTTAACAATATTATGAAAGTAATATTATATATATATCAATCTTTAGCAGGAATGAAACTGAACGGCATTTTAGTCGACCACAGCACAGATATTTTGTTGTGTTTCAACGTTGGTAACCAAACTTTCCCAAATTTACAAACTGTTGATTCCAGTAGTAGAGAAATATTTTCAGCGCAAAAGTAACTGAAGTTGACATTTCTCAAACGTCTGTGAAGCTAGGAAGTCCTTCAGATGTCGTGGCTACAATCCAAAATGCAGTTTTAGCTGTGGGTACTCGTTCGAAAAAAAATTGTTGTTCTTATAATATGTTCATCGCGTTTGTACTTTAAAATATATTTAGTCATAACGTGTGTCCTAATAAATATTATATTGATAATAGAAATGCTGATCATGATTCATGAGTACTACTTTGATACAAACAAAGCCACAAGAAGGCTTCAAATATCTATTGTTCAGTTCTTCGTTAAGTTTGTCAACCCTTACTAAACTGTCCCAGGTTAATGCTGATTGGCACTACAGGAAGGATCATTGGCCCAACCTAAGCGACCACGGCAGGGTCGAGATCACAGCTTCTAAGATATCCATTAACCTGGATTTACGAATTGGTACATGACGTTTATATTTTTCAAACTAGTTAATAGTTATATTAGATGGATGAAGCACTAAACTGGATACTAAAATCGAATGATACAATTTTAAGCCGCACAGTCTACTCTTGATATACGACAAAATTTCGTAAATCACAGTTCATACCTCCAGACTCTAGTTATTACCACATAATAACCATAAATATCATCATTAGGAACTACTGATAAAGGAGAACCTCACGTGACCTCTGAAAGTTGTACGTTTGATGTTGGCAATGTTGACGTCACGTTCCACGGTGGCTGGAGTTGGCTTTACAACTTGTTCAGTGAGACTCTCTCTGATTCTCTCAAGGAAGGTATTCAGGGTCAGGTTCGTACAATGTTTATATATATTCAGTGAGACGCTCTCTGATTCTCTCAAGGAAGGCATTCATGGTCAGGTTCGTACAATGTTTATATATATTCAGTGAGACTCTCTCTGATTCTCTCAAGGAAGGTATTCAGGGTCAGGTTCGTACAATGTTTATATATATTCAGTGAGACTCTCTCTGATTCTCTCAAGGAAGGTATTCAGGGTCAGGTTCGTACAATGTTTATATATATTCAGTGAGACGCTCTCTGATTCTCTCAAGGAAGGTATTCAGGGTCAGGTTCGTACAATGTTTATATATATTCAGTGAGACTCTCTCTGATTCTCTCAAGGAAGGTATTCAGGGTCAGGTTCGTACAATGTTTATATATATTCAGTGAGACTCTCTCTGATTCTCTCAAGGAAGGTATTCAGGGTCAGGTTCGTACAATGTTTATATATATTCAGTGAGACTCTCTCTGATTCTCTCAAGGAAGGTATTCAGGGTCAGGTTCGTACAATGTTTATATATATTCAGTGAGACTCTCTCTGATTCTCTCAAGGAAGGTATTCAGGGTCAGGTTCGTACAATGTTTATATATATTTAGTGAGACTCTCTCTGATTCTCTCAAGGAAGGTATTCAGGGTCAGGTTCGTACAATGTTTATATATATTCAGTGAGACTCTCTCTGATTCTCTCAAGGAAGGTATTCAGGGTCAGGTTCATACAATGTTTATATATATTCAGTGAGACTCTCTCTGATTCTCTCAAGGAAGGTATTCAGGGTCAGGTTCGTACAATGTTTATATATATTCAGTGAGACTCTCTCTGATTCTCTCAAGGAAGGTATTCAGGGTCAGGTTCGTACAATGTTTATATATATTCAGTGAGACTCTCTCTGATTCTCTCAAGGAAGGTATTCAGGGTCAGGTTCGTACAATGTTTATATATATTCAGTGAGACTCTCTCTGATTCTCTCAAGGAAGGTATTCAGGGTCAGGTTCGTACAATGTTTATATATATTCAGTGAGACTCTCTCTGATTCTCTCAAGGAAGGTATTCAGGGTCAGGTTCGTACAATGTTTATATATATTCAGTGAGACTCTCTCTGATTCTCTCAAGGAAGGTATTCAGGGTCAGGTTCGTACAATGTTTATATATATTCAGTGAGACTCTCTCTGATTCTCTCAAGGAAGGTATTCAGGGTCAGGTTCGTACAATGTTTATATATATTCAGTGAGACTCTCTCTGATTCTCTCAAGGAAGGTATTCAGGGTCAGGTTCGTACAATGTTTATATATATTCAGTGAGACTCTCTCTGATTCTCTCAAGGAAGGTATTCAGGGTCAGGTTCGTACAATGTTTATATATATTCAGTGAGACTCTCTCTGATTCTCTCAAGGAAGGTATTCAGGGTCAGGTTCGTACAATGTTTATATATATTCAGTGAGACTCTCTCTGATTCTCTCAAGGAAGGTATTCAGGGTCAGGTTCATACAATGTTTATATATATTCAGTGAGACTCTCTCTGATTCTCTCAAGGAAGGTATTCAGGGTCAGGTTCGTACAATGTTTATATATATTCAGTGAGACTCTCTCTGATTCTCTCAAGGAAGGTATTCAGGGTCAGGTTCGTACAATGTTTATATATATTCAGTGAGACTCTCTCTGATTCTCTCAAGGAAGGTATTCAGGGTCAGGTTCGTACAATGTTTATATATATTCAGTGAGACTCTCTCTGATTCTCTCAAGGAAGGTATTCAGGGTCAGGTTCGTACAATGTTTATATATATTCAGTGAGACTCTCTCTGATTCTCTCAAGGAAGGTATTCAGGGTCAGGTTCGTACAATGTTTATATATATTCAGTGAGACTCTCTCTGATTCTCTCAAGGAAGGTATTCAGGGTCAGGTTCGTACAATGTTTATATATATTCAGTGAGACTCTCTCTGTGTCTCTCAAGGAAGGTATTCAGGGTCAGGTTCGTACAATGTTTATATATATTCAGTGAGACTCTCTCTGATTCTCTCAAGGAAGGTATTCAGGGTCAGGTTCGTACAATGTTTATATATATTCAGTGAGACTCTCTCTGATTCTCTCAAGGAAGGTATTCAGGGTCAGGTTCGTACAATGTTTATATATATTCAGTGAGACTCTCTCTGATTCTCTCAAGGAAGGTATTCAGGGTCAGGTTCGTACAATGTTTATATATATTCAGTGAGACTCTCTCTGATTCTCTCAAGGAAGGTATTCAGGGTCAGGTTCGTACAATGTTTATATATATTCAGTGAGACTCTCTCTGATTCTCTCAAGGAAGGTATTCAGGGTCAGGTTCGTACAATGTTTATATATATTCAGTGAGACTCTCTCTGATTCTCTCAAGGAAGGGATTCAGGGTCAGGTTCGTACAATGTTTATATATATTCAGTGAGACTGTCTCTGTGTCTCTCAAGGAAGGGATTCAGGGTCAGGTTCGTACAATGTTTATATATATTCAGTGAGACTCTCTCTGTGTCTCTCAAGGAAGGTATTCAGGGTCAGGTTCGTACAATGTTTATATATATTCAGTGAGACTCTCTCTGATTCTCTCAAGGAAGGTATACAGGGTCAGGTTCGTACAATGTTTATATATATTCAGTGAGACTCTCTCTGATTCTCTTAAGGAAGGTATTCAGGGTCAGGTTCGTACAATGTTTATATATATTCAGTGAGACTCTCTCTGATTCTCTCAAGGAAGGTATTCAGGGTCAGGTTCGTACAATGTTTAATGTTTATATATATTCAGTGAGACTCTCTCTGATTCTCTCAAGGAAGGTATTCAGGGTCAGGTTCGTACAATGTTTATATATATTCAGTGAGACTCTCTCTGATTCTCTCAAGGAAGGTATTCAGGGTCAGGTTCGTACAATGTTTATATATATTCAGTGAGACTCTCTCCGATTCTCTCAAGGAAGGTATTCAGGGTCAGGTTCGTACAATGTTTATATAATATATTCAGTGAGACTCTCTCCGATTCTCTCAAGGAAGGTATTCAGGGTCAGGTTCGTACAATGTTTATATATATTCAGTGAGACTCTCTCTGATTCTCTCAAGGAAGGTATTCAGGGTCAGGTTCGTACAATGTTTATATATATTCAGTGAGACTCTCTCTTATTCTCTCAAGGAAGGTATTCAGGGTCAGGTTCGTACAATGTTTATATATATTCAGTGAGACTCTCTCTGATTCTCTCAAGGAAGGTATTCAGGGTCAGGTTCGTACAATGTTTATATATATTCAGTGAGACTCTCTCTGATTCTCTCAAGGAAGGTATTCAGGGTCAGGTTCGTACAATGTTTATATATATTCAGTGAGACTCTCTCTGATTCTCTCAAGGAAGGTATTCAGGGTCAGGTTCGTACAATGTTTATATATATTCAGTGAGACTCTCTCCGATTCTCTCAAGGAAGGTATTCAGGGTCAGGTTCGTACAATGTTTATATAATATATTCAGTGAGACTCTCTCCGATTCTCTCAAGGAAGGTATTCAGGGTCAGGTTCGTACAATGTTTATATATATTCAGTGAGACTCTCTCTGATTCTCTCAAGGAAGGTATTCAGGGTCAGGTTCGTACAATGTTTATATATATTCAGTGAGACTCTCTCTTATTCTCTCAAGGAAGGTATTCAGGGTCAGGTTCGTACAATGTTTATATATATTCAGTGAGACTCTCTCTGATTCTCTCAAGGAAGGTATTCAGGGTCAGGTTCGTACAATGTTTATATATATTCAGTGAGACTCTCTCTGATTCTCTCAAGGAAGGTATTCAGGGTCAGGTTCGTACAATGTTTATATATATTCAGTGAGACTCTCTCTGATTCTCTCAAGGAAGGTATTCAGGGTCAGGTTCGTACAATGTTTATATATATTCAGTGAGACTCTCTCCGATTCTCTCAAGGAAGGTATTCAGGGTCAGGTTCGTACAATGTTTATATGTAATATTTTTAATACTTTCAACACTACTATATAACAAATAATTTGAGATAATGATGTATAATAAAACGATGCAAAGAATTTCGAAGATCTAATCAACACTGGCTTTTAATGTGTAGAAGTACAGCTAAAGAATATATAATATATATACACTTCCGTTTTTAATTTCCTGCAAAGTTGTTAACAGGCAACATACTGATTGAATGACACAGAGTAAGATACAATAGACCTATAAAGGTTTGTTTCAGGTGTGCCCGTTGATTACAGATGAGGTCAACAACGATCTGAACAGTATATTGGACACTTTAGAACTCCAGTCAGATATAGATGAGAACTGTTATATCGACTATTCTCTTATACAACCACCGTTTGTCACCAAAGAGGCCCTTTTTGTCGATGGAAAAGGTAAGTTTTATTGCTGGGGGGGGGGGGGGGGGGGGGGGGGGGGGGTATTGCTTTCACATTGACAAACAGTGAAACATACCTACATATAAAATATATATATGATTTGGTCAGGCGGAGCTAGTGGTAGAAAAAGTGATCTGATCGAGGAAATCGGATTACACCACCTATACAATCGGAAATATTACATCATGGTATCTTTCCTCTTAACACCAATGATTTGAAACTCGAATGATTTCAATATCTCAGGAGAAATATTCGATAAATCCGACCCAAAAGAGTGTCCGTCCCCTAAACAAGACATGCCTGAAACAGTGGACAGTGAGAGGATGGTCACACTTTGGATAACTGAGTACATGTTGAACACTGCTGGATACGCTTACCAGACCGCTGGCTTCCTCCAGTACAACCTCACCAGCGATGATGTTAGTTTTTATTGAACTTTGATCTGATAGCGTTTTATATACTCATGTGGCAGTTATTTTGTATCGATATTTCCACGAGAATGCTATCAAGACTTCGGGCTCATATTTCATCTGTTGACGTCAATTGATACACATTTATAGAATATCGTACTCGATTTCAGTAATATCCTGAAGACACCTTTCTGATAAACAGTATTCTAAACTTCTGTAATTTAGAGTGTGTTAAACAGTGAATCTTTTTACTTCAGATTCCTAGTGACAACCCCATCAAGTTTAAGTTGACAACTGAATTTTTCAAATTCTTCGTTCCTGATCTCAACAAGGCTTACCCTGACAAAAATCTTACCCTCTGGATCTACGCTACAAAACCAGTCCTTTTCAATGTCAACAAAGCGGGTAAGCTGGCCGGCTTTAGTTTAATTGATGTAATATTTTGAACAATTGAAATTCGACTATTTACCACGAAGCCATGATGATTAAGGAAACGTTTTTACAGTTATTGTCAATTTGCGGGGAAAATTTCTATTCGTAATTCTTCAAATTCAAATTCAAAAATTTTGGAAAGATTTAACCATCATTTTGACTAAAATGTTTCACAAATTCATGTTGTTGCTCCTGCGTTCTGCTCCTTCACCTTAACAGATGAGTGTAACACAGATCTCTGCCTCCTTATCTTTATCCTTTGTTCGAACGTTCCGCCATTTTGGTCCATATCACTAAACTTTCCGCCAGATTCTTCCACCAGGTTCCCACACGTAAATCTATCACAAAGGGCAGAAATCAGCTTATCCCGTTCCGTCTCTTCATTTGTTGTCAAGCTGGTGTCTTTCTCCTTCTTTCTGCTCCGTTCTTCTCTTAACCGTCTCCTGAACCAGATGATGAAAGGGAAGAATATGGCGAAGTACGGAAATAAGAGAGGCTGCGCTCTGATGTAATCCTTCAGGAGTTTGCTGCGAGCATATTTCCATTCAATGTCACAGTTGTCCTTGATTCTATCGAAAGTGCTTCCAAGGATGCCTATGAGCATGTTGAGTAGCAGCACACACGAAAGAAGAATGTATAAGATGAGAATGATGTTGATGAAGACTGTTGTGCGAGCTTCGTGTTCCACTGCCAAATTCTGAAAATTGTTTTAGTCGTTCTTTAATGCAAAGTTAGGAGATTTTGAAACAAATTCAATACAAATTACAAATAGAACGAGTATAATCAAAACAAGATAACCCACCACAACATCAAGAAGTCCAAAAGTTGACCACATGATATTCCTCATAGTGTCATAAAAGGTCTCGAAAACAGCTGGAGCGGTGACCTCCCCCTCGGGATGGCTGTGGTTGTATGGTAGCAATGTGAAAATGTGGTCTTCAGCACCGTCAAAGAATATTGCCACTGAGCTTTTGAGTTCCTTGTTCCATCGGTGAATGCTTATCGTCATGCTGTAAATCGCTATTGATGTTCCAAAGATTACTGTAAGCAATAGGATTCCGAAGTTTAGTACATCTATTACTAGGTACTTTAGTGCAATCATCATTGTTCCAAGTGATTTAAAGACTTCCAAAAGACCTAGAATCCGCAACGTCAGGATAAATTCTGCAACCGCATACATGTAGTAAACATTCATGGAATCTTGATGTGATCGCATCAGATCTCCTTCAGTCGCCTTGTAGTCAATTTTTTCCTTCTTTTCTTTATGTTCCTTCAGAAGGCCATCAACCCTGTACTGAATCATCACATTGTGGACGGCTCCCACGCATAGCATAACTATGACAATGATATCTACAATATTCCAAAAATGCCGGAGGTATCCCCAACCTTGCTGCACCAGGAAATCTATTTCAATGATCAAACGAGATAAGACACAGAAATAGAGCAAGTAATCCGTTCCCCCAACTTGGTATTTTCCATCTGTAGGAAAAATACAAGCGCATATCAGTATCATCAGGAAAATCAAGTAGTTCAATGCGTCCGTAATGAAGCACATGCAAGGAGTGAACTTCAACTTGAGGAGTTCTGCGAAAGAAGACTCCATGAACTTTATTCCTCTGGGAAGTTCGACCAGAAGTAACTTCAGAAAGAGCAATGGTAGCATTATCGGACTAGCAATGTACTTTAATGCTATCAGGGTTTTACCATAAAGAAGTGTGTTGTTAAAATCTCCATTCCAACTCTCATTGATGATCTGTTGATTGAATGGATGGGAAACAAACTGTTTCTTTTCCTGCTTGATAGCCGTTTTCAGCAGATTCTCCGGGTAAAGAATAATTTCTTTAGCATCCGTCATCTTATCACATTGGTCCAGAAACGTATACGCAAATGTGTCTGCGTTCTCAATCAGCAACTCGAACTCCGTCTCAAACTCGTTCCTTACGTGTTTAATCCTCTTGATATCGTTAGAAACGCGAAATGCTGTCTTTATTGGGTCCCTGCATCTCAAGTACGCATCGTCAGCTAACAAGAAAATCAAAGGCCTTGAACAAAAACCGATGACATTGTTCTCTCGAAGCTTTTCCTGGGAGTCATGTCTCAAAGATGATGTCAACCTCACAACGGCTGTTTCAAGATCACCTCCCTCATGTAGGAGAGAGTTTATGGTTTCTTTGTCATACCTGTTCGCAGCTATGCTCAGGGGCATATCCCCATTCTGGTTGGCATGATTAGGATTGCCACCGTAGCTGAGGATTATCTCGACCATCTTGCAGTCAACCTTAGCCGCCATGATCAGAGTGCTGTTTCCTTTTCCATCCTCCTTGTTAGCCAGATTTAATGTTGAGTAGTGAAATGCTGGGCAACCCATCTTAGGAAAGCTTTTAGGCAAGTTTCCATAAACGATATTTTATGATCGGCGCCGATAATCGCTTATTGAGCGCTTTTTCGGCGCTTTTAAAAAAAAAAACCGTTTACAATCGCTTTTTTTACGATTATAAACGGTTCAAAAAAAATCGCTTATAATCGACTATAATTGGTGTCATAATTCAAAAAAGCGCTTTTTTAAATTTAAAAGCGCTTATAAGCGCTTATAAGCGCTTACTAGCGTCGCTGAGCGATTTGAAAGCGGTTTTCCAGTAGGATTGGCGCCAAAAACGGGTGGATAAGCGGTTGGCCGGATAAGCGATTCGTAGGCGCTTTTTTGAACCATTTATAAGCGATTATAAGCGCTTATAATCGGGGTGCAATTTAGCTGTTTGTAAAGCGCAAATAAAGCGCTTATAAGCGCTTTTAATATTGAGTCAGGAAAACGCTATATTACATCTTATAACCGCTTATAATCGATTATAAGCGTTTTTTTAGAAATCGCTTATAACGGCTAATTCATCGCTATTTCACCGCTTTTACCGCTTTTCCTATCATCCATGGCCAGGTGAGCAGGAATTGAAAAGCGCTTATAAGCGCTTTTTCGATGCTGCCCCTAGCCTGGTCGGAACGGGGTAGTGCCCGGAATTTAAAAGCGCTTATAAGCGATTTCTCAATTCCCCTCAACCTGGTTGGAACTTTCATGTGCTTTTCTGAGCAACCTGGGGTGCACCGGCAGAGTCAGGATTTAAAAGCGCTTATGATCGCTTTTCTACCGCTTTTCCTATCACCCATGGCCTGGTTGGCAAGAATTAGAAAGCGCTTATAAGCGCTTTTTCAATGCTGCCACTAACCTGGTCGGAACGGGGGAGTGCCTGGAATTAAAAAGCGCTCATAAGCGCTTTTTAAATGCTGCCCCTAACCTGGTCGGAACTGGAAATCAGAGTGCCCGCTTATAAGTGCTTTTCTGAGCAACCTGGGGTGCACCGGCAGAGCCAGGATTTAAAAGCGCTTATGATCGCTTTTCTACCGCTTTTCCTATCACCCATGGCCTGGTTGGCAAGAATTAGAAAGCGCTTATAAGCGCTTTTTCAATGCTGCCACTAACCTGGTCGGAACGGGGAGTGCCCGGAATTAAAAAGCGCTCATTAGCGCTTTTTTAATGCTGCGCTTATAAGCGATTTCTCAATTCCCCTTAACCTGGTCAGAACTGGAAATTAGGCTATCCATTATCGGTATGAAATCTTTTATCTAGATAAACAGATAAAAATTTAGGTTTTATCTAGATAAAACCGATAAAACCGATAATTTTTCTGTTGAAGGCCAAAGCCAAAATATTTTCCAAATTTCACAAAAACTGATTGTCGACTTTTATTACTGTTTACCAGTAATCTTGCTAAAGTACAACTTCCTTTCTTTTAAAAATATTAGAGCATCTGTTTTCTTCTCCGGGGAACAATAGTGTACAAGTTCTCTTCAAAACAGTAGACCAAGGGTTTCCTTCTCCTGAGAACAGTAACGCACTAGTTCTCTTCAAAACAGTAGACCACCGGTTTCCTTCTCCTGAGAACAGTAACGCGCTAGTTCTCTTCAAAACAGTAGACCACCGGTTTCCTTCTCCTGAGAACAGTAGTGCAACAAATACCAGTTCTCCTCGAAACAGTAAAACATTTAAAGTGATTCAGTGAACCGTTTCCTTATCCTGTGGATAACTTGGAGCAACAGATTCCTTCTCCTGAAGACAATGTTTCACGCCTAGAACACTTACGGAATTTAATTGAGTGCCCTGCCGGTATTTTTGACTCTCGTTAACAGTAACATGCTCGTTCCTGTCTCCAGAATGGTTGTAAGGTAGAACGCCAGCACCCTAGCCTCAAGATAACAATGTCAATAACTTTCTCTAGACTTCTACAGTTCTACAGTTCTACAGTTCCATAGGTATACAAATGTAAATAAACCTCTTAAGCTCACATTTAAGTAAACTACCTCTTCTATCATACTATAAAACGTTTGGGACTGTTTCTTGGATTACTTGGGAAGGCAAAAAACACTAATATTTCTTTAAATTTTACGGTATTGTGGCAGTTTTTTCGGTAATTTCTAGTGAATTTTTATACCGATAAAAATATGTTTTATCTAGATAAACAGATAACCTTTTTTAACGAATTATCGGAGATAATTATCGGTTACGATTATCGGAGTGGATAGCCTACTGGAAATCAGTGTGCCCGCTTATAGTTATAAGTGCTTTTCTGTGCAACCTGGGGTCACCGGCAGAATCAGGATTTAAAAGCGCTTATAGGCGCTTATGATCGCTTTTCTACCGCTTCTACTAAATCGCTCGCCCAAATTTTAAGGAAATTCTTGTGAAAAGGCCCTTTGGGGCATGAAAGTGATCTATATCGGTGTATTTTTGGACGCTGATTCCGAATCACCCCCTATGACGTAGGGTTAAAATGCTTCCCTGGAGAGTTATGGGCAAAAAACCGTTTTGGTCACGTGACAGGCTAGTAAAATACGAATTCGATTGTTTAGGGCCCGGGTTAGGGTTAGGCTTGTGGAAAGGGTTATGGTTAACTTCGGGGTTATGGTTAGGGTTAGGGTTGGGATTAGGATTTATGTAAAACCGTTTTGTACGGCTGCAAAACCATAAAAACCAAAGTCACGTGAAATTTTTGGGCGAGCGAATTAGTAAAAGCCGAGTTGGACTCCAATATATGGAACAAATATTTTACGAGTGTCACCCGTCAATTCTCGCAATCACATTCAACATTGCGCTTCGCTAGTTTGGTAAAAATTCACCACTAGACTGGGCCTCGCCAAGCTGTGAATTGAAAGATTGACATCGCATTGTGAGTCAATATTTTATTTTGTCTCATGTTAGTTCATGCTGTAAAATGGGCATATCAGCTTGTTTACCGATTCACGATTACCGCGCAATTGTTTAATTTACTTATGACTATGTCACGACGCGACCTGAATAATACAAATAGACCCAATACCCATGGTTAACAGGTGATACTCTTAATTGACGGATGTTACTCGTCTAAAGTAGCGCGCGCCGCTTTCTTCTCGAAATGCCACGATGGCACGTGCTATGTCGGGCCAGACCAGTAACATTAGGGGGTGCACGATAAAAATAAACTTGCTCGGATTTAAAAAATTTTTGTACCACTGTTTTCTAGAGAGTGTGAGGATTTCCACAATACCAAATTTGTCATACCTTTTTGGAAAGATCAGTGAGTTTTGCCTAGGTGCCATATTTGATGGTGCGCGGCTTTTGGAGCAAAAGTAGCTGTAAAAGTTGCGTAATTTGACCAAATTCGTCCAAATTTGACCATTTTTGTCGTATTATTCGGATATATCTCCAGTTCCTTGAATGATATCATTCTGGAAATTGGCGACGACCTTCCAATAGGGCTTTCACAACTGTCCGAAAAATTTGGTGGATATCAGAGTTGATATAGTGATCAAATTGGGGCAAAATACGCTGTTTTTAGTTGTAATATAATGTCTGATGGTTGGATATGCTTTAAATTTTTCGGACACTTTCCTTGTAAGTCTATGAGTAAGCTTACCAATTTTTGTTGCAATTGGAGGTCGGGAAGGATACTCAATATCTATTTGTTTGAAGAAAATTGTGCTGGCCAAAATTAGCGCTAAAAAACTATCCTACTATACAGTCGGCACGCGCGGCTCACTGTTGATGGCGCACTACCTATCTGGATAGAGCAACGGCAGCACGAAGGCACATGGTTAAGTTAGGTGCAAAATAATCGAACATGCAGAAACTCTTAGCTTTATTGCATTGTATATCATGTGTACGCTTATTTTTGTATAAAAACCGCGACCGGCTCTTGCTAATTCGCTCGCCCAAAAATTTCACGTGACCTTGGTTTTTATGGTTTTGCAGCCGTACAAAACAATTTTACATAAACCCTAATCCCAACCATAAGTGCATAACCCCGAAGCTATCCATAACCCGCGTACCTTAACCCAAACCCTAACATGAGCCCTAAACAATCGAAATCATGTTTTACTAGCCTGTCACGTGACTAAAACGGTTTTTGCCCATGTAACTCTCCAGGGAAATATTTTTACCCTACGTCATGGCGGGTGATTCGGGATCAGCGTCCAAAAATACACCGATTTAGATCAATGTCATACCCAAAGGCCTTTTCACAAGAATTTTCTTAAAATTTGGGCGAGCGATTTCGTAGGAGCGATTCAAACGCGCAATCTTGCGCGGTTTATTTGTTGCAGTTTTACTATCTAATAACCAAATTTTACAAGCTATCTCACTCTCAGCACGCCTGCACGCGCACGGCTTTACTAGCGTATTTACCTGGGGACCTCAGGCTATTATGTTCATAAACATAAATAAAACCGAATAGAGATTAGGCGGAATGACAGGCTGAGCGCGGCCCAGTAACTAGCGTATATATACATTACTTTTTTCCTATTGGTACTCAGCGTGCACTGCACTTGTTTTTATGTCCACGATTGATTATGAACAAGTACGTGAATGCTGGTCACGCACACACTAACTTTCAATGAGCACCGCACTTTTTTCAGACGTCGTGATTCGCTCAGCCCGACTAGAGATTCCTTGGAATGACATAAACAGGCCTGTCATACTCGTTGACAGACTGAGCGTGGCCCAGCGCAATAATTTAATTTCATATGCTATATTTTTCTTTTGCAAGTTCTGAATGTGAAGTGTGTATGACTGATGACGCAGCGCGCATCGACCGCCACCAGGACAACCACCACCATTAACAACATATAAATAAACGCTTGCAAGTGCTTTACAATTTCTGACAATTATTGTCGGAGAACTTTGCCGCGCCGTGCACTTAGCCTTCTTGCTTGGCTTCTAGATCGCCAGTCAAACAACTATGTTTAAATCCATGTTGATAAATGATAGATAAATCGGTAAAAACCAGCAATAAAAAGTGATTGTAATCGCTTATAACTTATAACCGCTTTTCAAATCCTTAGGTGCCCATGGGTGATGGGAAAAGCGGTAGATAAGCGATCATAAGCGCCTATAAGCGCTTTTAAATCCTGACTCTGCCGGTGCACCCCAGTTTGCTCAGAAAAGCACATACGAGTGGGCACTCTCCAGTTCCGACCAGGTTGAAGGGAATTGAGAAATCGCTTATAACTATAAGCGCTTTTAAATATCGGGCACTCCCCCGTTCCGACCAGGTTAGGGGCAGCATTGAAAAAGTGCTTATAAGCGCCTTTTAATTCCGGGCACTCCCCCGTTGCGACCAGGTTACTGGTTAGTGGCAGCATTGAAAAAGCGCTTATAAGCGCTTTCTAATTCCTGCCAACCAGGTCATGGGCGATAGGAAAAGCGGTAGAAAAGCGATCATAAGCGCCTATAAGCGTTTTTAAATCCTGACTCTGCCGGTGCACCCCAGGTTGCACAGAAAAGAACTTATAAGCGGGCACTCTGATTTCCAGTTCCGACCAGGTTAAGGGGAATTCAGAAATCGCTTATAAGCGCATATTAATTCCAGGCACTCCCCCGTTCCGACCAGGTTAGGGGTAGCATTGAAAAGGCGCTTAAAATTCTTGCCAACCAGGCCATGGGTAATGGGAAAAGCGGTAGAAAAGCGATCATAAGCGCCTATAAGCGCTTTTAAATCCTGACTCTGCCGGTGCAACCCAGGTTGCACAGAAAAGCACTTATAAGCGGGCACTCTGATTTCTAGTTCCGACCAGGTTAAGGGGAATTGAGAAATCGCTTATAAGCGCTTATTAATTCCAGGCACTCCCCCGTTCCGACCAGGTTAGGGGCAGCATTGAAAAAACGCTTATAAGCGCTTTATAATTCTTGCCAACCAGGCCATGGGTGATGGGAAAAGCGGTAGAAAAGCAATCATAAGCGCCTATAAGCGCTTTTAAATCCTGACTCTGCCGGTGCACCCCAGGTTGCTCAGAAAAGCACATGCAAGTGGGCACTCTCCAGTTCCGACCAGGTTGAAGAGAATTGAGAAATCGTTTATAAGCGCTTTTTAATTCCGGGCACACCCCCGTTCCGAACAGGTTAGGGGCAGCATTGAAAAAAGCTTATAAGCGCTTTATAATTCTTGCCAACCAGGCCATGGGTGATAGGAAAAGCGGTAGAAAAGCGATCATAAGCGCTTTTTAATCCTGACTCTGCCGGTGCACCCCAGGTTGCTCAGAAAAGCACTTATAAGCGGGCACTCTGATTTCCAGTTCCGACCAGGTTAGGGGCAGCATTTAAAAAGCGCTTATGAGCGCTTTTTTATTCCGGGCACTCCCCCGTTCCGACCAGGTAAGGGGCAGCATTGAAAACGCTTATAAGCGCTTTATAATTCTTGCCAACCCATGCCATGGGTGATAGGAAAAGTGGTAGAAAAGCGATCATAAGCGCCTATAAGCGCTTTTAAATCCTGACTCTGCCGGTGCACCCCAGGTTGCTCAGAAAAGCACATGAAAGTTCCAACCAGGTTGAGGGGAATTGAGAAATCGCTTATAAGCGCTTTTAAATTCCGGGCACTACCCCGTTCCGACCAGGCTAGGGGCAGCATCGAAAAAGCGCTTATAAGCGCTTTTCAATTCCTGCTCACCTGGCCATGGATGATAGGAAAAGCGGTAAAAGCGGTGAAATAGCGATGAATTAGCCGTTATAAGCGATTTCTAAAAAAACGCTTATAATCGATTATAAGCGGTTATAAGATGTAATATAGCGTTTTCCTGACTCAATATTAAAAGCGCTTATAAGCGCTTTATTTGCGCTTTACAAACAGCTAAATTGCACCCCGATTATAAGCGCTTATAATCGCTTATAAATGGTTCAAAAAAGCGCCTACGAATCGCTTATCCGGCCAACCGCTTATCCACCCGTTTTTGGCGCCAATCCTACTGGAAAACCGCTTTCAAATCGCTCAGCGACGCTAGTAAGCGCTTATAAGCGCTTATAAGCGCTTTTAAATTAAAAAAAGCGCTTTTTTGAATTATGACACCAATTATAGTCGATTATAAGCGATTTTTTTTGAACCGTTTATAATCGTAAAAAAAGCGATTGTAAACGGTTTTTTTTTAAAAAAGCGCCGAAAAAGCGCTCAATAAGCGATTATCGGCGCCGATCATAAAATATCGTTTATGGAAACTTGCCAGCTTTTAATCTTTGCCCCCTTCTCTGCTAAAATACTCTCCACATCTGCGTGATTGTGTGCCTTTATCTTCTCGAACAACTCTTGGTGCTCCATATCATGGTCTAGTCCATCCCATTTTAATTTTTTCTCATACTGTTCCATCAAAGTTTCAAGTTCCGGTTGTTTTGAGCCGGTTGAACTCGGACGTCGGTTTCTGTTTTGGTTCATTCTATGATCAATTTGATATGTGGTTATTGAAATGAAAAAAAACAGGACTGCTGAAAATTCCACCATTATTTAAATATATAACGTATCAATTGTTGATTTACATAAAAAATGAAGATCGAATTGGTAAAGCGAAAATAAATACAATGATATTATACTAAACCTCATTTTTATTATTTTATTGAGATAAAAAAGGAGATTTGTTCCAAAAACCTCAGCAAATGGCCATAATTCCCTGATACTAGAAGTTTAAGTCTAATCTCGAGTTTAACCAGTATATCGTTAAATACATATACTATTGTATTGTACATACTATAAGTACAGACACACAGTGTATTAAGAGGAAACAAACAGAGAAGCTTAACCCTCGAGGAAACAACACGTGATACTAATAAAATAAACAGTACGCTTTACACTTTATGTATTCACAATTAGTTCCTACACAAACTACATAAACTTATCAAGCAGTAATAACCTGGTGCTCAAGGTCAAGGAATTAATATTATAAATCATTTCTGAATTATTTATACCACATAAATTAGTTACTTATTTAGTGTGAATCCCTCGTCAAATGAGACCTAATATTAATCAGATCAATCATAATATGATAAATAATATGATAAATAATATTATTAAATAATATTATTAAATACTATAATTAAATACTAAGATAATATAAATTTCCCCTGTCAGGAGTGAGTGGTAGAGCAGAGGGAACAATAACTTGGCTGGTCCATGTTAACGATACTTTAGTTCCTGCCTTTACCCTGGACGCTCAACTTGATCTTTGTGTTAATCTCAGTGTGCAACTTGGCGGTAAATCTGACTTATACCTTGATCTCATCACTGTCGAGTAAGTTCAAACACATTTTATTATAGGGGGCCGGGGAGGGGCATATTTAAGAATAATAAGCGGTAAGTAATAGTAAGCCACAAAACGGATCATAATTCAATTAGTGTATCGTAGTGAACCCTAACTTTATTTCATAATTAATAGATAATTTAATTATCTGATAACTATAACTCTATATAAGTTACAGTTTAATGGTTATTGGTTAATATTATCATAGCCATTCCGTAGTAGATCCTGGGTAACACGACTCTTGTCCGAATCCGTAATTCCCCGCCCCCCCCCCCCCCCCCCCCATTATAATATTTGAAAAAGTGAAATCTATGTTTTTAAGACTAGTCGTAGTTTCAAATCATTCTCTTTACTATAATAAATTATGTCGTTTTCGTGGTCTTTACATAGAGTTAAAAAACATAACTCTCCTATAAATTATGAATTTTCAGGCCGTTCATACAGCTAAGGAGTTCAAACATTGGAAACTTCTCAATAAGTACGCTCCAAACATTCCTCAAATTCTCTCGAGGGATCATTAAAGACTTTGCAAATAGCAATCTCAAGCACGGAATCCCACTTCCTGCAATCGATCACGTTAATTTCTCAGGATTTGACTTTCAACTCGATGACGTAAGTTGAAATAAAACTGATGCTAAATAAAAAATTTTATAATTTTTTAGCCGTCACTATTGTAGTTCATCGACACATCACACATGGACCTGATTTAGGAAATATACTGTGTGACCCTAGCCTACGATCTTATAAATTTGTAAAAATAAAATGCTCCTTTATTCACTAACTATTGATATTACATTCCTTAAATGTCGGAATATTTTTCCCGTGACCCTGCAATAAAAGCTCAATATTGCAGAGTTTCTTCTGTGTAAAGTTGTATTCTGAGTAGATAAGGACCCTGAAATATGATACCCTACACTGTACCTATAGAGTAATTATAAAACTCTACTATTATAAAATATTCAGCAGACATGCTGCCGATAAGAATTCAATGACAATTTAGAATTATATGTACTATTTACTAACATTTATAGATAATTTGTTCAGGGCTACATACGGATTCACAGCGACATAGAATATGACCCTGATGATAAGGTATCGGCTGAAAGAGAGCACCATACACTGTTCGAGGATGGTTTTAAGTGTGAGATGAAAAACAAAGAAAGTTGGAAGGAGATTGATGATATGATAGGTTCTGATTTCTTAAAAGAAATGTTGGCTTAGTTGAACATACTGGTGAACAAATATAGATTACAGATACGTTTTATAGTTCACGCATGATTTGATTGGTTATGGGCTTTTCTTGGCCAATTTTTATGCTCTATGTGGTGAAAGGAGTGGCAACCAATTTTTTTGTCTTATCTAGGAGTTGAATTCATATTTTAATTTATAACCAGCCGATTGATGCATTAAATATTGTTTATAAATATTAGGCATACGCATTTTTAGACATTTTTGACTTTTTAACTTTTTTTCGAGGAATTATTTGATTATTTGATCATCATTACCAAATAAAATTAAATAATGACTAATGATTGCTTATTACAAGATTCTTATAATTTTCCTTTGAACTTTGATTGAATAACCATATCAATGATTTTGGTTTAGTATGCAGTTAGTTGTTTCTCTTGGACGAGTTATTTGTAATTTATCACACCGTCGTTATTTTTCACTAACTATTGATATTACATATTTCTCCCGTGACCCTGCAATAAAGGTCAATATTGCAGAGTTTCTTCTGTGTAAAGTTGTATTCTGAGTAGATAAGGACCCTGAAATATGATACCCTACACTGTACCACTGTCAGCATGAATAAGAAGTTGTTACTTTGAAACGTCGTTTATCCTAACAGTGCAATATCATTTGTCGCAAATCAGAATAATCAGAAACTATTTGGAAAAACCCAAAAACTGTCTATTGTACCTATAGAGTTATTATAAAACTCTACTATTATAAAATATTCAGCAGACATGCTGCCGATAAGAATTCACTGACAATTTAGACTTATATATACTATTAAGCCGACTTAAATAACATTTATAGATAATTTGTTCAGGGCTACATACGGATTCACAGCGACATAGAATATGACCCTGATGATAAGGTATCGGCTGAAAGAGAGCACCATACACTGTTCGAGGATGGTTTTAAGTGTGAGATGAAAAACAAAGAAAGTTGGAAGGAGATTGATGATATGATAGGTTCTGATTTCTTAAAAGAAATGTTGGCTTAGTTGAACATACTGGTGAACAAATATAGATTACAGATACGTTTTATAGTTCACGCATGATTTGATTGGTTATGGGCTTTTCTTGGCCAATTTTTATGCTATATGTGCTGAAAGGAGTGGCAACCAAGTTTTTTGTCTTATCTAGGATTTGAATTCATATTTTAATTTATAACCATTCGATTGATGCATTAAATATTGTTTATAAATAAGGCATACGCATTTTTAGACTTTTTAGACATTTTAAACTTTTTCAACTTTTTTACGAGGAATTATTTGATTATTTGATCATTAATACCAAATAAAATTAAACATTGACTAATGATTGATTATTACAAGATTCTTATAATTTTCCTTTGAACTTTGATTGAATAACCATATCAATGATTTTGGTTTAGTATGCAGTTAGTTGTTTCTCTTGGACGAGTTATTTGTAATTTATCACACCGTCGTTATTAGAAGCTCATTCGAAGGGAGATGTACTGGTAATTGGGATCTAAGATGATCTTATCTCATTTACTGTTGTTGTCATGTGATTTGACTGGCGGATATACGGAACGCGCGGCGCCCATCCAAATTTTAGTGATAAAAGTGTATCAGAATGTAGCACAAATCAATCCAGTGTGCATATATGCATGCATGCTGCTAGCTGAGCGCGCGCGCTAGTATGGCCTGCACGCATTGCTTGCATGTACCATCTACCATGAACGCTTCTTTTTACCCTTGCACTTCCTATCGAAAAGTCTGTTGACATAGCCTCTCATGCTTTGGATGTTATTTAAAGATGGCTAAAACAGTCTGGTAGTACTTCTATATACGACCAAGAATGGTCATGTTAAAGAATTTCTCAGTTCAGTGATAATCTCCTACTTCAAGTAGCTCTACTTAGCTATCAGGGGTCCCATCTTGCACAAGTGTTTTCAAATCTTCCCGAATTGAAGGACAAATTAATTATGTATTATTTATTATTTTTGAGCCGTACACTAATATGTCCGGCTTTTGTTAGGATTTCTAGCTAAAAAACTCCGGTTTTTTAAATAGAACAGATACAAAATAAAAGACGAATTTCCTACAAATAAATATAAATATTTATTAATGATAGAAAACAGCTCTCGGCCAAACCAGCTACCGTAACATCAAATTTTTATAAAAAACGAATGCTCAAGTAACAATTCGGTGATTTTGAAGTAGTCATTTACGTCAAATGCAGATGAAGAATTGGCCATTTTTCAACTATATCTTGTACCAAAGATCAGATTTTAAATACCATAATTTTATGTACATTATACAACAAATACACAGTGCAATCGAATGCTTTGCTTAAACAAATAACGTGAAGGTAATTAAGGCATCATTTAGAACATGTAGAGGCATGCCAGGGTCACATTTTAACCGTTTCTTTCATACTGTCGGTAATGTCTCGGTACTTGTAGGTATGTATAGTAGGATAAAAATAGCTGATTGATGATAAGCGAGGTATTGGAAATGTAGGTACCAGTCTCTTATCGATTCAGAGGTCTCTGCGTTACCGTTAATCTAATTACAAGCTCAAATTCCATTGTTAAGCTCGAACAAACCCAGCTTCAGCCCAAAATTTAAGCATGCATGTGAGGAAATTGGAAATAAAAACGCGTGTGCGCGCAGGAAAATGTGCAATTTTTTTCAACGAAAATAATTTCGCGCGTGCCATTTTAATGAGAAATTTGACTCTTTTGTCCCGATACTGAGCCAGACAAAACATTACTGGCTTTGTCTGGTGAACCAGTCAGCTCTTCCTATGGCGTCGCCTACATTTCCAACGCAATGTTGTATTACAGCAGTAATATAAAACAAAAGCGATTAAAAATGTTTACCATTAAAAAGGGTGGTTGCTTAAGAAATAATTTATTACTCTGAAAGCCCTAGAATACGAATTTAAAATGTTTGTTATGAAAGACCATGCTACTAGGTATGTCAGGTATTAATATATCGGAGTTTCTATAATAATTATTATATATAGCTTTTTCTTTCAAATACAAACCATTAAATCTGAATTAAAATATTAACAATAAACCTCCATGCAAGCCAACAATTCGTTTATCTCTTCCAAGTTCCTCTCTCTCTCTCTCTCTCAGTCTGTAAGTCAATATGACGTAACCAGCCACGTGACGTCAACTCCATCAGGGCGCAAACCTTCATCTCTATCACAACAAACCGTTCAGTGGTTTAATCTCTTATTTTCCAGTGTCTCACACATCAGTCTGGAATCTGTTAGCGTCAGTCAGCTGTGAGGCACTGGCGAGGCTGTGCTGCGAGCCACTGTTCTTGACTGTGCTGACTGTGCGAGCAGGCACCACAGGATGAACCGGCTTGGCAGGAGCCAACTCTTTGAGGCTTGTGTAATCGCTAGTGTCCTCTTTTGGATCCTTCTCCTGACTGGTTGGGGGACCGTACGCAAAGTTTAAACTCCCCTGCAGCATATCCCAGGATTGGTTTGGCGCGGAGGAGCCATCGAAACTCCCGTCAAACCGAGCTTTGGGTCCCTGAATATTGATGCTCTGCATGGTGAGACCATCACTGTGTACCTGCTGACCCTGCTTGATAACTGTTGGTAGGTTCTCGTAGATATCTCCGTTATCAGAGTCTGGAGAGAGGGAGGCTTCTGGGGGTGCGCGGGTCGAGTCTGAGTTAGGCTCCTCTAGATTATCATACTCTGACTCCAACCTGAAAATATGTAGTGGTCAGATTATGTTCATAATATTCTGGTAATATTTAGTCTACTAATGAGCTCCTTCAAAATATGGGTTACGACATGGATTAGTTGGATCGTCATCTTGGATGTGTTATAAACCACTAATTGCTGTGCTAACTCGGCCAAATTTGATGATTAAACTTAGCATCGTTCAGATGGGTATATAGAAGTTTAAAATGTTACTGTAAACTTTACTCCAAATCAACACCAAACATGCCCAGCAAAGCAAGAAATTTCCCAGAATGACAGTAAATTCCTACTATCCATTTATGAGCCACACCCTAGAATAGGTCGAGATTGATATTGATATCTTACTTTGAAAATGAGATTTGTTGGAGAGAAATGAGAATATTACATACCTAGCTTTAAGTTACATACCTAGCTTTATATGAAGTTACATACCTGGCTTTAAGGTTGAGTTTTCTCTCTTCCTCGCTGATTACGTAATAACGACCCCTTACATACCTGGCTTTAAGGTTGAGTTTTCTCTCTTCCTCGCTGATTACGTAATAACGACCCCTTACATACCTGGCTTTAAGGTTGAGTTTTCTCTCTTCCTCGCTGATTACGTAATAACGACCCCTTACATACCTGGCTTTAAGGTTGAGTTTTCTCTCTTCCTCGCTGTACACTACATACCTGGCTTTAAGGTTGAGTTTTCTCTCTTCCTCGCTGTACACTACATACCTGGCTTTAAGGTTGAGTTTTCTCTCTTCCTCGCTTTAAGTTACATACCTGGCTTTGAGGTTGAGTTTTCTCTCTTCCTCGCTGTACACTTTAAGTTACATACCTGGCTTTAAGGTTGAGTTTTCTCTCTTCCTCGCTGTACACTACATACCTGGCTTTAAGGTTGAGTTTTCTCTCTTCCTCGCTGTACACTACATACCTGGCTTTAAGGTTGAGTTTTCTCTCTTCCTCGCTGTACACTACATACCTGGCTTTAAGGTTGAGTTTTCTCTCTTCCTCGCTGTACACTACATACCTGGCTTTAAGGTTGAGTTTTCTCTCTTCCTCGCTGTACACTACATACCTGGCTTTAAGGTTGAGTTTTCTCTCTTCCTCGCTGTAAGTTACATACCTGGCTTTAAGGTTGAGTTTTCTCTCTTCCTCGCTGTAAGTTACATACCTGGCTTTAAGGTTGAGTTTTCTCTCTTCCTCGCTGTAAGTTACATACCTGGCTTTAAGGTTGAGTTTTCTCTCTTCCTCGCTGTAAGTTACATACCTGGCTTTAAGGTTGAGTTTTCTCTCTTCCTCGCTGTACACTCCACTACTTGATAAACTGTCGTTATTATTGTACTGTCTATCCGCACTGTTACGTCCTGAAAACACTGCACTGTTACGTCCTGAAAACACTGCACTGTTACGTCCTGAAACACTGCAATTTGATATAAGTTATTTTAAAATTCAAAGTTTATAAATAGAGCCTTTTTCTTGTCGCATCAAACGGGATCAATAGAAATTTACCCAAGAAAACATTTCAACTATGCGACTCATAAATAATATTCCAATCCGGATTTTACATATATAACATTTGTTAAGTTTTAATTGCCTCACTAAATTTACGACCATTGTGTTACTCTTATAAATTTGATATATGATCACAGAACATATTTTAATACTGTCGACAAGATAACAGAAATTATTATATTCAAGGTAATAATAAACAAAAGAAAGGTACCTGATGGAGGATTGAGCTGTTGTGGCTGCCAAACCATGGGGTTGGTCAGTATAGGGTTATTGTGGTGGAGGATACTGTGTTGATGTAAACTAGATATGGGGTGCTGGATGTTGGATATGGGGTGCTGGACACCAGACATATGGTGGGGGATGGTCGTGATGGGATGTTGGACGGAGGAGATAGGGTGGTGAACCAGAGGGTGCTGCATGCTGGAGATAGGGTGCTGGAGACTGGAGATGGGGTGCTGGAGAGGGATGGAGTTGTGCATCCTGTTCTTGGAGGACGGAACTAGGTTCTCGTAAATCGGAGTTTTAGAAGACATGATGCTCGCAACCTCAGAATCGTATCCACTGCAACTGTTGTTTGGTTTTTGAAAATCTTCAACACTTTTACCGTTATTAATCACAATCTATACAAAAAGAATCTTCTAGAAAACATAACTGACGTCAGTTCTACGGATCCAAAGTAAATAACCAGTAAAAAGTACCAACCTGTCTTTGCCAGGAACACTGTGATAAGTATCGTAACCACACCTGGACCGAACTGAGTGCATGTAGGACTGAGGTGTGATCAGCATCCTCCTACTTCCTCCTCCTCCTATTGAGTCGGGGTTCTGTTCTATAAAACCTAACATCCACGTACTCCTGAAACAAGCGGGAGTTATTGTTTGTGGTTATCATACAGGGGGACTTAAAACTGCAGAATTCAGACCAATGTGATCCTTTAATCCCCATATTAACTACCAATGTCTTAAAGATATGTGCTACCCTCACGGTTACTATGATATCGAGACAAATATGGTACTTATAAGTTCTGCTCTATGGTCGTGACGCACAGCAATTGCACGAGTTAACTGAATGTGGCGACTGGCGACCCCACAGTTAGCAACCTATAAACCAGGACATATAAAGGGACAGTACGTAACGGTTTGAATACCGAGAAGAACAAGCTGCGGCCGGTAATGGGAATTAAAGACCATGTCGAGGTCCTCTCACCAGAATGCCGGTAAAGGACTAAATACTGGCCGGTTAAGGGGGGGGGGGGGGGGGGTCTCCCTGATAACACACCCGGTTAAAGTCGAGCACTGAGAAATGGAGACTTACAAGGTAGAGGTAATACCAGTCAGATTGGTACGAGTTCTTACTTGAGTATTAAAACTGCAAAGTTATAACTACGGCTACAATTTGATAGATTGGATAATAGAGGGCACTGCACTAAGTAAGATAATTTGAATTCTGTAAAATACCTGATTAACTGGTAGATGTTAATCAGTTTGAAGGATATAATATCTACTATAATATCTATAATATCTACTATAATATCTACTCAGAGGGGGGAGTAAAGTGAGCCGAGTTATGGGGTTTAGTAAATAGTGAGGTGTAAAAGGTTGAGACATTTCCACTTAAAATTTAAATAGGTCGACTTCACTTTCTGTATAATAATTGGAGCTATTGCGATATCAGTACGGTTAAGCAGTGTAGAGATGGTGCTTTTTGTTCATTACTGCAGTAATCAGGCTTTATTCGGTAGGTAGGCACCTTGAAATTTAGCAAAGGAGAGAGCTGCTATTGTGCTTTACAAATTAACTTTATACAACAAATTGTATTTAAGGTTACAATAGAACTGTAATAAGAAAGCCTACTATATTGAATAGTAACATATTAGTAACACCTGCGTCATCAAATCTAAACACAATAGTAACACCTGCAGTAACACCTGCAGTAACACCTAGGCGTCATCAAATCTAAACACAAAATCCATTCATCTCAAACCGAAAGTATTAATCTGACTAATAACAGCATTATTTAATACTTTCAACACTACTATATAACAAATAATTTGAGGTATGATCCCGAGCCTCAAAGCTATGACAAATGACAAGGCTGCAGGCCAAACGCCCAGCAGTGAAGAAGCAGAGAAAAAGAGAAAGAAGCTCTCAGAAAAAGGTACTGTTAAATCAAAAAAACCTATACTCAAAGTTTCTAAAGATGTTTCTAAAGATGTTTCTAAAGATTTTTCTAAAGATTTTTCTAAAGATTCTAAAGCCCCTCCAAAGAAAAGTGCCATTAACCCAAAAGCAGTCCCCAAGTTTAATCTCCAAGGGCTGTGTTGTCGCTGTAAAAGTGATAACATGGCCTATGAGTCCATTTCTTGTCAGATATGTAAAGACGTTTTCCACGCATGTTGTAAGGATAAGGCTGGCACACTTATGCCCACGTCTATTTGTGCACGGACTTTCCTGACGAATATTTTGCCAGTTATTCACAAATACGGTAATACATATTCCCAAAGATATGGTGACTTTGGCTGGACATGTCCTAACTGTAAGAAAGCTCTCCTTGCAAAAACTGCTGTTAAAACTGCGGACTCAACTTGTAATACAAGCATGGATAGCACCAAGAGTGTGGCTAGCACTGAGAGTGTGGCTAGCACTGAAAGTGTGGCTAGCACTGAAAGTGGGGCTAGTATCACCACTGATACAACTTCCAGCAATGGAGATGAGAAGACATTGATTGAAACTTTGAGCAATTTTAAAGTAAGTTTACTGTCAAGTGTAGAAGAACTTATTTCCATCAAACTTAAATCACACATAGATTCTCTGCTCACAGAAGTACCAAATCTTACACAAAGATCCAGCACCCCTAGTAGTGCATCATCTATCCCTAGTAGTGCATCAGCCCTAGCCCTGCAAACATCTAGTTCTTTAAGTGCTTGTCCAATGAAGTCTACCAGTTCACTTTCATCTTCAAAGAGCTACAGTGTTGCGTTGTCTCCTGAATCGGCTATAGATAGCCCGACTAGTACTGCTACTGAGAACTTCATAGAACTAACCAAGAAGGAAACTCCTATGCAAAAACTTCCCTCTGACAATATCCATAATAATGCTCCTGATAATCATGTTATCGTCCTCAATGTAGAAGCTAGTAATATTAATCTTGAGGAAGCAGGAAAGCTAGCTAGCAAAGCCCTTGGTACAATACCCATGATCTTCTTGACCCCTAAACCAAAGACAGGCAAAATTGTTATCTCCTTCCCTTCAGAAAAAGATAGAGAGGATGGGAAAATAGCCCTTGCAAACTCATCAGCTGTAACTTCGTCCAAAATCACTGTTAATGATGCAAAGAAAATGTTCCCGAAAGTCACAGTTACGAATATTCCAAACAACTTAATCTCCCACATTGTCTCTGAAAATCTATCAGTTCCTGAATTTCGAGAGAAGGTTAAAACCTTCATGGAAGTGAAGCTTCTGGAAAAGAATCAATATGTTAAAGATTTGGTGACCAAGCATGATAGAACATTTAAAGTTGTGTATGTCAATTATGGAAGAGACTACACTACTGTTGGGATTAAAGTGTCTCCTGATATAAGGCATTTCCTGTTAAACAATCAGTCCATTTACATAGGAAATTCCAGATGTAAAGTAGTTGATAGATTTGATCTTAAGCAGTGCTTCCGATGTCAGAAACTGGGACACATTTCATCTCAGTGCCAGGAAACTGATGTTATTTGTATGTATTGTAGTGCATCACACATAACCCGGGCTTGTCCCTACAAAGAGGTCAGAAGAAGTCACAGATGCACCAACTGCTCACACTCCACTTATGAATCATACAGAGAATCTTGTAACACCCATCACTCTGGTGCTGAAAACTGTCCCATCATAATGCTGGAGAAAGAGAGTCTTCGACAAAGAACAGAGTACTCAAAAAACATGTAAAGACTACGCTTCTCAACCTAAATGTCGGACTGTTTAACACGAGGTCACTATGTAATAAAACTGCACAAGTATTTGAGCAACTGTCTGACTCCAATATTAATGCCTGTTTCCTGACAGAAACTTGGCTACGTAAGGGAGATACGTCAAAAATAGCGGAAATTAAAGACCTAGGTTATAATATTGTTCACCAATCTAGAGCTGGTAGAGGAGGTGGTGTCGCTATTGCCTTTAAGAAAGATCTTAGCTTCAATAAACGCCCTACAAAGACCCATAAATCCTTCGAACATGTTGAGTGTGTGCTGAAGTCAAGTTCCAATGACCTTCTTCGTTTCTGCTGTATCTATCGATCTTGTACGGCTAAAATGTCCAAAATGACAGACTTTTTACGGGAATTTAATGAATATCTTGACAGTCTAACTCACCTTCCAGGTAGACTGATCATTGCTGGAGACTTCAATATCCATGTCGAAGACCTCACTGATCCTGATACGATAAATTTTATCCATCTCATATCAAACTATGGCCTCATCCAGCATATTTCCAGTTCAACACACATTGGGGGTGGAATCTTAGACCTTGTTCTTACTAGAAGCAATGCGTGTGATATGTTGAACATAAAAGATATAAATGTAGCTAAAACAGTAACAACATAAGATCACTACTTCGTAAATTTCTCTATTGCCTTTCCTCACCACAAAGGAAGCAACAAAGAAGATATGGTGGGCAGAAAGATATCAGATATAGACATGAATCTTTTCAAAGAGGATCTGTTGCTATCTGACATAAATGACCCCAACAAGTTTATTGACTGCAACTCTGCCACAGAACTCTATAACAAAGAACTTCGCAGAATTCTTGATAAACATGCTCCCCTTATCTGTTTTAGCATTAATCCTGATCAAAGCAAGTGGGTGGACACAAAATGTCAAACTGCCAGAAGGAAACGAAGAAAAGCTGAACGTGACAACAGGAGACTACAAACTGCAGATTCAAAATTGGACTATAAAAAAGCTGTTAAGCATGCTGAGGCAGTTATAAACACCACTAGACAGCTATACTATGAAAATCGTCTGCAAAGCTGTGAGGACAATAAAAAAGATACCTACAAAATAGTCAATCAGCTAATGGATCGGGACATATCTAAAAACTTGAAGCCTAATAACAAACCTGCTGAAACTCTATGTGAGGAGATGAAAGAGTTTTTCAATGATAAAGTGGAAAAGATTTACTCTGCCATTAACAATGATACTGCAGCTGACACTCTACTTGACCACTCAGAACCATTTCGGCGAAGCCTGGAGCCAATTTGAAACCATAAGCGACAATGATCTCAAAATGATTCTTTCTGAACTTAACAAAAAAGAATGTGAAGAGGACCCCATCCCTCTAAAACTTCTAATGCAGTGTTTTAATGAAGTTAAACCAATTGTGTCATTTATTATCAATGACTCACTTGTCACTGGAAAATTTCCGTCAGTCTTAAAGAGTGCTCTTGTCAGACCAGCCATCAAAGATGATAAAGGAGATGTCAATAGCTTCAACAACTATAGACCAATTAGTAACTTACCTTTCCTCTCGAAACTCATTGAAAAGAGTGTCCAGAAACAAATGACCAAACATCTTGACTATCACAATCTTCATGCTGAGCATCAAAGTGGTTATAGGTCAAATCATAGCTGCGAAACTGCAACCCTTACCATCTACAATGATCTTCTTTGTATCAGTGACATGAAAAGCAAGGTTATCCTCCTCCTTTTGGACCTCAGTGCTGCTTTTGATACTGTAAATCATCACTTGCTCCTAAAAAAACTAAAAAAGGACTTTGGTTTTGAAGGTACTGTTCTCGAATGGTTTACATCATACCTTAATAACAGATCCTTCACAGTAACTATTGATAAATCAAGATCAAAGAGATGCTTCCTTAGAATTGGAGTCCCGCAAGGTTCAATTCTAGGTCCAATTCTGTTTATACTTTACACAAAGGAGCTCAATCGGATCGCAAAGATACATGGATTTAACATCCATATGTACGCAGATGACACTCAACTGTACATTGAGTTTAACCCACTATTTCGAGATCTGTCAACAATCGAAGAGAGAATAACAAATTGTTTTGAAGATATTAAGACCTGGATGACCCAAAATAAACTCAAACTGAACCAAAACAAAACAGAAGCTCTTGTAGTACAGACCAAGAACAGTTACTCTTCATGTCCAGTCGATTCAATACAACTTGACAATGCAGCTGACCCTGTGGATGCATCCCGCACAGTGAAAAGTTTAGGTGTCCTATTTGATCAATTCCTAACATTTGAAGACCAAATAAATTCAATTATCAGTTGCTGCAACATCCATCTGAGGAACCTTCGAGTTATAGGCTCAAAGCTTAACTATGATCTAAAAAGACAGCTCATTCACTGCTTGATCTTTTCAAAACTAGACTACTGCAATGGACTCCTATACGGTTTACCCGATCTTCTCATAAAGAAACTCCAGAAGGTACAAAATTCCTGTGTTCGATTCTTGTTTGGTTGGAAAGCTATCAAAAAATGGGACAGTGTCACTCCATTCCTGAAAAAAGCCCATTTTCTTCCAATACGACAACGAATAGAGTATAAGATTGCTCTAACTGTGTTCAAATGCATCAACAACATAGCGCCGGAGTATATCACCAAATGTATTGACATCAAGAGTCAACCTGTACGTGTACTAAGAACTGAAGAAGACTATTTCCTCCTAAATGTTCCTCCTATTTCAAACTATAGTAAAACCGAGAGAAGTTTCAGCTACTGCGGACCCTCTGTTTGGAATCAGCTTCCTTATCAATTGAGAACACTAACTGATATCGTCTTATTTAAAAAGAAACTAAAAACTCATCTCTTTGAAAACGTATTTGTATAAGTATCATGTATTACCTCTCTCATAAAATCCATACTTCATAAAAATAAGTTCTTATGTACATGTTACTCATGAGTCGCTTTAGATGGTTTGAATTGAATCTTTGGGTTTTGAGTTCTTTATGGCTATAAAGCGATGTATAAATTCCTACTTATTATTATTATTATTATTTTGTTGAAAATATTAGCCAGTCCAAAGTAAATTATTAAACATGTCACAACTAACCCGGTGTTGGTGTTGTTGGGAGGAAAGTGAATGACGTCATTGTTCTCATCGTGTTTCAGAAGATGAGAGTTATCCTTTATCGGGTTGTTCATCACCGGGCCTCCCTTGTTCTTGTACAGCACGCTCATCTCCTGCTTCAGAGGCCTGCATATAGTCTAAGTGTGAGAACGAGAAGGTTGTAGAATATTCTTGAAAATAAAGGAATTTACTCAATATCGATATTGTTCAGACATTTTCATGCCGCACGAGAGGAGATGATTGACGCTTGGTATTTGAAAAGTTCGAATGTTCTGGAATCCCCTATAGCAACGGGAATTCGATGATAAAGGAAATCTACCAACCAGGAAAAGTTTGCTTTAAAAACACAACAACTTTATTAATTTCATGCAACTATATTAATTTCACGATATCTCACATCAGAGATTTGCGCCTAGGAGCGTCACTACGGGTAAACTTTCTACTTTTGACTAGACATTTGATGAGACTGGTCGGTTAAACTGGGCAGTGCTCAAAACCACGAGATTTTGTTTTCCGTATCACCCAGGATTCCTCAGAAGCTAAAATATTGAAACTTCGGCAGACACTTTTGTTTTCAAGAGATCAACGAAGCATGCAATGATTAGATGTACTGAATATTACAGTGGAAACAATGTAGTCAAGTTCTACAGTACACAGTACATACAAGGTGCTTGATGGGATGTATACAGCCGTCAAATTGGCAATTAATGAATTCTTGGCGAGGTAGACCAGAGGAGGATAGCGTAGGTGTTGGTTTCCTACAATTAATTTTAATAGGTTTTGTGTAATGTCTTTCAATTGGTATTGCGAGATGAAATTGGAGTGTACGTATTCTGATACATTTTTAGTGAGCTGTTAGGTACATTCTTGAATAATATCGCTGGTGTAGCCTTAGAAAGTTTTAACAAAAGTACACAGATCAGTTAATTATTGATTATTACATCCGGCTTCTTCTGTGAATGAGGTAAGAGTAACATTTTGGAGAATCATGATTCTGATTATAGTTGATTACAACTGTGGTTTTGGAGTAAAGTAAGATAATGGCAGCATCTGCTGCATCTTGGCTCTTTCCATGGTCCTTTCCATGGTCCTTTCAATGGACGGGTGTCATGCTATCTTACAGCATTAGTTTAAAATGATACTTAGATTACATAAAAATGCGGTGTAGCTGTGGTTAAATTGTGGTTAAACTACCACAACTAAGGGCCGAGCAAGGGGCACGACCCTCTGCAGCCAGTGTAAGTAAATAGCAGCTGTCAAAACAGTGGTTTATATATTGTGAAGATTATCAAGGTATCCAATACCAAGATAGAGCCCATGTCAAAAAGTCTTCACATCAGTTACATAATCTTGAATTACATTTGGTGAGAAGTTTGTACGGGGATGTATAAAACAAGAACAGTTGTATCTACAAATACAGCAGCACCTGCACAGCTGCCGTAATGGGTATGTACATTTATAGCATTCCGGAAAGGAAGCCTGCGATTCAGAAAAAGCTTAATTTTAAGTACACCACTGTTTGCTACATGTCTATGTATTGTAGATGTCCTAAATTGTTAAGCACTCCAAATGAAACTACCTTACAAGACATATTTATAACGTACGAAATGTGGCGGTTTTCCGAAAATTTCGCCATATTTTCGGACCGCCAAAATTTCGGTCGTCGTAATAGAATCCGTCGCATTATCTTTTAGCTTATTTCAATGACTGTGCCTTCACTGCTTTATTTTGTTTCTAAAAAGTAATATCAAGTAAAATAAATAAATAAATTCTGGCATCTTGGGACAAATTATCACCACACCAATGACGAATTGAATGTCAAGCAATACAGTTTAAATTTGCATTAAAATACATGTATGTGCTAACATGAAAGTCTTACAGTCTTAATACAGACTAAGTTTGAACATGATTTTACCGAATTTCAGAAATTTCCTTACTGCTTACTGTCACAAAAAATGATGAAAAATACCCTTATTTTCTGTGACGTCCGAAATTTGACGGTTTTTGTTCAATTTCGCCATATTTTCGGACCGCCAAAATTTTGGTCGTCGCAAATTAGGCCGCCATAAATATGTCTTGTAAGGTATGCAGATTGCAATTGTACACAATTATTTATTATCCATAGTACCTCACAAAAATATGGTCAGTGTCTTTCCAACCGACTTGACCGACCAGTCTCCATTCTCCAATAATCATTCATCCAGTGCAGTATGTGATAAAATGGTGCCACACCATAGTACATACCCACTATCGATACCACCGGAGATGCCTAGAATTTCAGTTCTACTGTATAATAATATGCTAGCAGTAATAAATGTAAGATCTAAAGAAACTGCCGTAATATTATTGCACTGAGTAAGTTGGAGGAAGCAATCTCTCTCTCTCTCTCTCTCTCTCTCTCTCTCTCTCTCTCTCTCTCTCTCTCTCTCTCTCTCTCTCTCTCTCTCTCTCTCTCTCTCTCTCTCTCTCTCTCTCTCTCTCTCTCTCTCTCTCTCTCTCTCTCTCTCTCTCTCTCTCTCTCTCTCTCTCTCTCTCTCTCTCTCTCTCTCTCTCTCTCTCTCTCTCTCTCTCTCTCTCTCTCTCTCTCTCTCTCTCTCTCTCTCTCTCTCTCTCTCTCTCTCTCTCTCTCTCTCTCTCTCTCTCTCTCTCTCTCTCTCTCTCTCTCTCTCTCTCTCTCTCTCTCTCTCTCTCTCTCTCTCTCTCTCTCTCTCTCTCTCTCTCTCTCTCTCTCTCTCTCTCTCTCTCTCTCTCTCTCTCTCTCTCTCTCTCTCTCTCTCTCTCTCTCTCTCTCTCTCTCTCTCTCTCTCTCTCTCTCTCTCTCTCTCTCTCTCTCTCTCTCTGGAATGGTCTCCCAGGTAGTGAGGAATGTTCATTTTGCTCATTACATATCACAAACTACATTATTGATTTCAAGTGGTCCGTGCAAAGCAACAGCTTGATAGAAATGTTGGTACTGATTACATGCTTTACTTGGGAGCGTTCTGTGAAATCATCGATTATCATCTGGTGTAGAGTGCATGATCAATGATCATAATGTTATCTCTTATCATGATCATTAATTTGGTCTGTCAACCGATGATTAGTGGACGCGACGAAAATGTTTAACATTTTCCGAATATTCTCACGGAAAAACTAGAGCTCACAACACAGTTTTGTTTAGACTTGGGATGACTTAATGTATAAAAATGTGCCGATAGTTATACACACAGGACACCAGACACACACACAGACATACACACAGACATACACGCTCTCTCTGCTTTGATACAATTGTAATTGATAAACTACAATAGTTTTGACATGCACGCAGTCACGATTTAGTCACGTGATTTGACTCTTATTCCTGACGTAAAACAGAGATTGGTCTCGTCAGTGATCAGACATGCCCTTATATGGTGTTTAGGTTGATGACGCATGAACGATCAACATGTAGGGAGATTAGAGACACCCCTAAATTATTTGCAATATTTATTGCCTTATTGGTGGGTATTTGTTGAAAGTGGTTTGACTACATTTTGAGCACTTTATTCTGCAGAAAAGATGGCTGGACTTACAGTAATTAAAAGTAAATTAAAAAAATCAAAATTGAATTCTTGTGAACGAACACATTTTAATTTCTCACATAATAGAGAGAATATATTAAATGCATTTTAAAGCAAGTCATAGCTAGGTGCTATAAACCATAAAACTGATTAATTTAAAACTCAAAACTAAAAATAAGAATTACCCTTGTTTCTGCAGTTTAGTAGGATGACAGCAAGTGTAGTAGAGAGTCTTGATAAGAATGCCCACCAAATACAGAGCTCCCATACTCACTATAGCTATCAGCCCGTACTCAATCTCATGGACTGTCTTGTAGTACCTGAACAACAATTATCAAATATCACAAAAATAGTACAGTAGTGGTATAAGTAGTATTGTGTGTGATAAATAGCGGATTTTTTGAGAGGGAGCACCTTCTTAAAGAGGCGTGGGAACAAGGCTCTAATGAGAGATTTAAAATCGACATGTTACTATGACATGTTACTATGACGATTTAAATTAAAGTTTGAATTGCTCTCAAGGTCTCGACAATTTGGGGGCATGATAATATAATAAAAGTTTGATTTCCTGCTACATATTGATTCTTGATATTATGTAGCGTAAAGGTTTACAAAGTACTTACCAAACAGTTCCTATGACAACGTTCTCCACGTTTAGACAAACGTGGTAAAGGACCACCCTGTTTCGTGACCGTCCAGGACTCACGTTTACGAAGGTAAACGCCTTCAACATTGCCACTGTGAAGTTGAATGCGATTTCCTGAGAAAAAAAAGAGAAATTAGATATCTCAGTTGAGTTGCTCGGTAACTTTGTAACGAGTTGTACTGGGCCGTGGGAAAAATCGGAGCATCCAAAATAAAGTCAGTATTCAAAAAACGTGATCAAATGACACTCATAATGGAGCAGTTTTTCAATTCATTTATTCAATGCAAACGCTGAAGCTGTCATAATTATAACTGGTAACTTAACACGTGGTTTGTTATCAGATAACACGTCACAATTACCTCATGGTTGCTGCTGGAGAAGCTACTGTCGAGGTAGAGTATCCATAGCAACATGATAAGGGAATGAGTGAAGAGGAGGAGGATGAGGTATCCTCGGTACAGAGATGCGAACACTGCGAGACACAACATCCTGTAACTCACCAGGAACACTTTGTATAGGGTAACACAAAGCAGGCCCACTGTAGTCTGATCGTATGACTCCTGTAAAGGGGGGGTATAAGATATTTCCTTGTGTTTGAATGACAGATCGTATGACTCCTGTAAAGTGGGATATAAGATATTTCCTTGTGTTTGAATGACAGATCGTAGGACAACTGTAAAGTCAGATATAAGATATTTCCTTGTGTTTGAATGACAGATCGTATGACTCCTGTAAAGTGAGATATAAGATATTTCCTTGTGTTTGAATGACAGATCGTAGGACTCCTGTAAGGGAGATATAAGATATTTCCTTGTGTTTGAATGATAGATTGTATGAACTATGCTCATGATATCAGGATATATTATAATGCGTTAAATGGCTCGTTTGTCCTAATAAAGCTATTAATGAAGTTTCCTGAACGGGCCGCATTCGTGTACATTTCAACTTTCTTTAAACTAGCCCGCATTTAAATCAATTACTACAACAGACAAACTGGACTTGACGAAAACTCAATAATCTCTAGGTTACATTTTTCATTGCGGAACATTTTTATTGACAAATCAACAGACATGGTCCGTTCAATGAATTGTTTCATTGTTTATCGAGGACTGGTTAATCAGATGTATGGTTGCTATTATCGGTTAGATATACTGTAAAAACACTCTCCTGGGGCTCGGTACACGAACACCGTACAATACACTGCACTCAATCTTAACACGGCTATTCGTTAGAAATGTAGATTATACCCATCATAGAGACACAACTAGAAGACAATGGAACATAAAGACACAAAGATATTGTATTCTAATAAAACAGGGCCAACAACAACAACAACAGCGAGACAATAAGATTGAGACGTACCCTGCGAGGCATGCGCTGGTACTTGATGCTGAGAGCGAGGCAGAAAGACACCTGCAGTGTACCCAGAATAGCTGGAGCTAGGAGGTTGTAGGTGAACACTTGCATGTAGAATATCAGGTAAAGTTGAAGTAACACCTGGGACATAATGAGGGAGTTGTAAATCTTAGTTCTATATAACTTCATGACGTCGCGTTCCATAGAAACAGCAATAGCAGCAAATCTGGGGAAACTTGGTGGACATTGACTTTTTTCACACAATTTGAGTATGTTGACTTCAACATTATGTTGCAGCTCATTGTGGTTAATCTCAATGTTGGAGTGATGTTTTTCTGGTGCACAAAACACTGCAGTACGGTTATGTTGAATAATTGTGGTTAATGGGTCATCTATGTGGCCACTATGGTGGTTAAAATACCAGTTTTAGGGTTAACCACCATTTTGAGATATGATATTATGAACTGAGTAGTCATTATATTGAGATCATATCATGGTGCAACTATCACAAAAGTTTTCAAACCTCATGGGGGGCATTTTGTGGTCCTAATGGTGGTTAAATTGAAGATGAACGGTGAGCTATAAATATTGCTCTGATTATAGATGTATAGTGGTGGTTGTTCATTTGTGCATGGATGATAATTTTTTATCACAAATGTGCAATTTAATAGTATGGTTGATTTGAGGTGGTTAATATTCGTAAAAAGTGCTAAAAAGATGGTTAAAATGTCAAAATTTGTTGTTAACCACCAATCAAAACATTATTAATGATTTTAGTCAACATTTTATGGTCAACAAAGGACATTTGAAGGGTCTTGATAAAAGTTATCAAGAAATGTTGTCATAAAAGTGGTTAAAAGGGCTATATTACTTGCTAGGCTGTTGAACAAGGCATCTATTAAAGTGAAAATTAACCACAATATGAACTTCAGATAATGGTTTGCTATCCAAATGAGTGTATATTTGTTTGCAAATGCATAATTTACCCCAAGTTCATGCATTCGGATCAATGTGCAGCTAAGGTGGTTAAAATGTCTCGAAAATACCCTATATTTGCACTAATTAACCATTTTTAGAGCACATATTAGCTTTGTAAAGCTATAGCTGGCCATGCTACATTATCTAGATATAACTACCTGCTCATTTATATGACCAGAAACATTGCTGAGTCCTCTGTTGCGTCCATCATGGTTAATAAAGGTCTAAAATTGACCAAAATCAGTGTTTTTGGTCGTTTTAACCACCATACGGCCACACATTTTGTTGTATTATCTTTAAAATCACTTATTATCCTCCAGCTATCTCTCATAATCAAATATCAAAACAAAATAAGGCACAAAAAGTTCGGAGGTTGCTGAATAATGGTTAATTTGGGATGGCTTCTGTTGACCGAAAGTCCAAAATAAACATGTTTTAACCACATTGAGGCCACATCTAAGGTTTTATGGTATTGGGACCATAGTCAAAAGTTTTGGGCACCTGAATGGTGACCTCTGCTTTTGAAATTATGGTGATATTTCAATGCTGTGCCATACCAGGTGGTTAAGTACGCGCTAGCGCGCGCGCACGCGTACAAACATGGTTTTTTTGATATACCACAGTTGGTGGTTAACTGTTCTACATCAAACCTTCACTAAAAGTATTGGGCACCATAGTGGTGACATAATATATAAAGAATTTAAGCCTAGACTAAATATGTTGGCCTACAGATGGTTAAGTACGCGCTAGCGCGCGCACGCGTACACTATAACATAAACAAATAAACCACTCCACAGACCACATTTATTAATTTTTTTAATTTCCTTCTTCAACTATGTGTCAATGAACCATTTTTGTTCAATAATGACCATCAATATTAACTGTAGTACTTATATCTTCACTGTAGTAAGGGTTTGGGTGTTAGAGGTATAAAAAATGTCCACTAACAAATCAGTCATTTTTCGACTACTTAACCACCTAACTCAGCACCAAAATTTTCTGAGATTTTTTTCGTTGCACTATCATGAAGCTATGACATTTTTGGACCTATGTAAATAATCAGATTACTAAAATTCATAATCTTTGATTTTTAAGGGGGGGTTAAATGCTTCAAATTGGTGTATTTCAAAGTTTCCCCAGATTTGCTGCTATTGCTGGAAATTAATTCGAGTAAGAACATATTGAACACTTCTGATGATGGTCTGAGCTGATGCGATACTCACATGCATAAATAAACTTGGATATATAAAACATGGATAAATATAACTTCACTAAAAACTGAAGGAAAGAGGGGACATCGCAATTTTTGTAAGTGTATATTTGTGGGATTTCTCAGATTTATTGCAAAACAGCAAATAAGTCAAGAATTCCAACTTTGATCTCACCATTTTGCCGTCGAAAACCAAATGAGGGGCTAAATCTTGGCTTAATGGCGATGCCCCCCCCCCCCCCCCCCCTTCCTCTCAAAATAAAAGCAAGTAGTACCTGAGGTGCCGCTTCAAGAGCCTCGAACAGTCGGAGAAGAGTGATGTCGCGTAGGCTGTAGTCAGCAGCTCGTTCCAACAAGCATAACTTACAGAAATAATTCTGAATGTCCTGTAATAATAGGCATGATTTCAACCGCGCTGTTGAATGTAATTCTATAAACATTTATTTGGGATGTGTAATAACAATGGGGTAACGTAGTCTAGCTGGATATAGCTGCGATCATTATATTGCAATGTTTTGAATTTTTGACTAGGTTTTAAATAAAGTTACTCCCTAAACCAAACTCAATTTCTGATAGATTTGCAGTTTGACGATAACTCAATAATCAGATACAGTCCTTTTACCAGTCTTACGGATGCGTCTGTAAATTTTGATTTCGATATTCTCAGAAATTTGGTCAATCACAGGCTCGCGGTTTGATTCAGATCGATGACCAAATTAAAACACGTCTCAGGACTTTGTTTGGTACAATTCCCACACATTGACTCTAGACACAGGGGGTGGGGAGGGTAGTATTCCCACACATTGACTCTAGACACAGTGGGTGGGGAGGGTAGCAGACAATTCCCACACATTGACTCTAGACAGAGGGGGTGGGGAGGGTAGTAGACACACAATTCCCACACATTGACTTTAGACAGAGGGGGTGGGGAGGGTAGTCGGACAATTCCCACACATTGACTCTAGACAGAGGGGGTGGGGAGGGTAGTCGGACAATTCCCACACATTGACTCTAGACACAGGGGGTGGGGAGGGTAGTCGGACAATTCCCACACATTGACTCTAGACACAGTGGGTGGGGAGGGTAGTCGGACAATTCCCACACATTGACTCTAGACACAGGGGGTGGGGAGGGTAGTAGTTGTCGGACAATTCCCACACATTGACTCTAGACACAGGGGGTGGGGAGGGTAGTAGTTGTCGGACAATTCCCACACATTGACTCTAGACACAGTGGGTGGGGAGACAATTCCCACACATTGACTCTAGACACAGGGGGTGGGGAGGGACAATTCCCACACATTGACTCTAGACACAGTGGGTCGTGAGGGTAGTAGACACACCAGAATCCAGCTGTCTCTCTCTGACATTTAGCGAGCTTGTTATCTGGCGTTACCTTGCCGCTCCTAACTGACTTATCCAGCACCACCACAGCCACTTTACACCCTGTCTTCAGACCAGATACTCGGTTACACTGCTTATTGTACATTGGGGGCTTGATCAGGTTAATTAGAACGGTAAATAACGGGCAACCTTTACAGGCTACCAGACCCCAAAACACGACCATTACTTTCATTGTTCAGAGATGTATCTCCAACTGAGCTTTTTAATCTAACAACTCCTCAAATGATCTGGTTTCTCTGAACGGCAGTTGAAATTTCCAAGAGTGCAGCTCTGTGAACGAAGCTGACCATAATACACTACTTAATCACGTGACATTAGTATTATGTCGTAATATTAGGTCATGTGCTGTTATAGTGGGGCCGGGAGTGTCCTCCGCTGTACACACCAACAGCTCCCAGGCTCCCCGGTAATTAGTTTCCTGTACCCTCTTCTTTCAGTCATGTGTCACGTGATGTACTCTGACAAGTTTGTGGTGCTGGGAAAGCAATCATTGCTTATTGGTTTAACCATTCGTGGTACTTAAAGATCTGAAGTAGGTCTAATAATACTTAGTATATCTAATTATGTTAAGTATATCATAATTATGTTAAGTATATCTAATTATGTTAGGTATGCTTACTTATCACTTGAAGCCCTGAATAGTGAACGCCAAAGTTTACAAAGAAAAATCTAATCTCAAATCACTAGGCCGGTTTAAATTTGACATTATATGCGGGTGATAGGATGTTTACGAGGAAGTAGATTTGAGAGTTAATACTGGACAGGTTCCTAAGATCACGTCAAACGTTAGGTTGAGTCACGAAACATCCAACATTTATACTACAGTCATTCCACCTCACTTTCTGATTAGATCCCAAGTCTAAACGAGAGTTGTGGTTAAATAATACATTACCGGGCGAACCTAATGCTCGGGGAGGGGGTAAAGTACATACTTTATCCTCATTACTCTCACATACTGATAATAAAATGCCAGGTTACATAATATAACGGATCTTCCCAATCTAAGCAGACTACATTAGGCGGTGCGGTCCGGTTACTGTCACGGGTTTAGCCATTCAGTCGACACTCGAGTGGACAGGTCACCTTTGTAGGCTTGATGTCGTGGTTGGGAATGTCCCAGTCTATGAATTGGCGACATAATATCAATCTCCGACACTGCTTGTCTTTGTTAAGAATCATGCAATTATTCAATCTCAAGAACAAGGATCTGAATGTCTTGTGGGATATTCTAGACGGCACACTGAATTGTGAAGTCATAGATTATATCAACCTGAATAATATACTATTCTAGTACATACATGTCAATCACTTCTTTCACCGGTGTGTATGGTAAGTATTTTGTAAAGTACAAAACACACATCCGCATTCCGAGGTAGTTTGCACGTGGCACTGTGTAAATAGTAAAGTAAGCAGGTTACTGTACTAGAATAACAATAACACCAGTTACAGCGAACATTGTGGAGCCTCAAATACCGCAGATGGTGACAATGGCGACTATATTTGGTAAATCTTTCACATATATTCGTTACACGTGAGGTCGCCATCAGGCGAATCTTATGATTCTTGGAATATGTCTTATTTTGGAGTGATAGTAGAAATAAATAGATTGAATATTCAGGCTGAGATTATTATAAAGCGATAATTAACATAACTGAAGCTGCTGATAAGAATTTGGTAACCGCTTTCAAACAAATCAGACCGTTGCAGATTTTTTATTATCGAGAACTTTGGTCCAATATTTCGAGCTCCACAATTTATTCATTAAGTATTACGTAGATTAGCAAGCAGTAAAAGTTAGGTTTCGTCTCTCTCTCTCTCTCTCTCTCTTTCTCTCTCTCTCTCTCTCTCTCTCTCTCTCTCTCTCTCTCTCTCTCTCTCTCTCTCTCTCTCTCTCTGCCAGGTTTTGAAGAGCAACCTAAAATAGCCTATATATTTGATAAAGCAGTGTTTTAATAACTCCTTCCAGCACACACGCATTATCGAACATATAATGTTATATAATATATATATGTGTGTGTGTGTGTGTGCTTATTAGTGCACGGTAAGAACATACATATTCGGCATGCTCGACTCGGGTGTAGTCGACTGGAGATGGAAAACTGAAATAAGATATCTTAATTCAATGCGTACATAATAATTCGATGGATATATAATATAATGTTGTCAATCGCAGGGCCCGAGCTTCCCTGTACTCTGTTTGGCCATCTGGGAAGCTACACCTAGCGCGCAAAAGGTTGGCCCCTAAATTTTGGGCTATTCTTTTCAGAAGTTATTTTCGGTTTATCATTTGAGCTAGAGCTGGGGGCTCACATTTCAGACAAAGACCGCTGAGAAGAAGATGTGATCAGAAACCCAACAAAATGGGGGTGTTGAAAGAGAGTCAGCTTTACGGCCGTGGGTTTTGTGATTAAGAATATAGCAATTAACGCTGTAATGAGTCTCTGAGTGAGGCCACGTTTCAGAGGAACCTGTATTTCGCGTGATGTGTGGAAGATTTGTCATTCTGACAGATTTTGATTATTTGCAATATTTCGGGTAGCAATATCATACCGATCTGAGACTCAATGAATGTCTCCGAATTACGATTACATAACCTGTTGAGGTAAATATCGTCTTACTTTTTGTTCCCTCCCCATGTGTGGCGTATTGTTCGAACTGCCCGCATCCCTCTTTAGCCGGCCTGCTATTGATTTCTCTACTCACTTAAGTTATCAGTTTCAAAGAAGACCGGTCAATCGACCAATTAATTAAAATCATTATCTTTCAGTATCAGACGGTTAGGTCATCTCCAGAAATTAGATCAAGTCACTCTCCTGATCAAGCACCGTATCACACTACTCTCTTGCTGGAACGATCTGTAAACTCCGCTCTCTACAGTACAAAGCAAGTGATGAGACACTTCATTAGTCGGACCCGTTCATGCTTGAAACGACTTTATCCACAAAATAGAGCTAGGGAGATCACGCGATACAACAGATCACCCTTCAGTTTATGACACTAGCAGGAGTAAGCCTCTAGCAAGGAGGATATGTCATGATACAGGCTATTTTAGTCACGCCACAAGAAATAGTACTGAGCCTGCTCGACCTTGCTCTCTCTTTCTTTCTCCCTTTTCTACTCATCATGATCAAGAGGGGAATACTACAAGTCCTTTGTGTTTAGCACGTCTTATCGAGCATGAAATGTTGGTTTGTAGGTGGCCGGACTGTTTCTCTGACTAACGAACAGTAGGATGTAGGGAGGCAATACTGCTACACAATACACATGGGGAGGGAACACTGCTACATGTTTCAAAACTCTCACCCAACTTCTTCACACACACGCCCCTCTACCCGCTACCGGCACCCTTCTACCGATATAAGTTAATAATAATCCGGCCCGGGTAATTTATGCACTATTTCGGGGGGTATTATGCACTATTTCGGGAGGTAGGTCGATACTTGTACTTGATTCCGCTTGATTGGTAGAGATGTTGTGATCTGTGTTCTTAGTGGGTGAGAGCCCTGCTCCACACAGCTTCTCAACATGTTTTAGGATAACTGGAAATCGTGTGCAGTACTTAGAACCACTTAGTGGTTCATTAACGGTGAACTGTGGTCGTCAGCGTGAATTGTAGACTGTAGTGTTGCAACTCCCGGTATCATCCAATTGTGTTACACATTACTGGTTACCAACTAATTATGTCACACATTATTTACCAATTAGATCACACATAACCAATCAACCGACATTAAATTGTGTGCTAATTTAACTGCTGATCCAATTCACACGTGGTAGGTTGACACTTTATCACCAGGACACTACTCTTCACTTGACAATGACCTGCACATGGAAAATTGAAAAACTCTGCAAAATACTGCAAAATACTAACGTCTCAGGTAATATGTACACACAGTGTGTATATTATTACACGCATAATATTAAGTCAAGAGATAGGAGTATAAATAAATATTACGAGTAAAGTTGGGGCGGGACTAGGTGGT